CTCAAATAGATAGATAGCATGCATAGTTTCAAGCAGTCATGGTCAGTGTTCTATCCTTAGTTTTCTATAAATTAGTATATATAAGTAAAAGTCCAGTGATGGGCCTTGAGTGTCTGCTTCTCATCTGGTGAGGTTGTTGTTATTAGTAATCCCCATTCTTACTTGCCAACTTCTATTTGTCTTGAGTGTGACTTCCCCTTTTGTTTTTTCTTTTCATGGATAATTTTGAAAGTGCAGCATATTCATTAGTATCGAGCCTTATTTTTTATCCAATTTTTTGCTGGGCGTAATTAGAAACCATAAAGTTGGTTGTATTTGGGATTTTTGGGGTTCCCTCAATCTCCTTTTATAAAGTAAACATTTTTTATTCATGAGAAGTCTAATTGGAGTTTTGTACTTTTGTTTACATATATTAATTTCTTAGTAGCAAAGACATCCCAAGTTTTTGTCTACGTGTTTCTACGGGAGGAAGAAGAGAAGACATATTGTGCTTGTCTTTTCTCTGGCATAACGATTAAAGGTACTCACTCTTTATCCATTCTAAATATACATATACCTCAATATGTTTATGTTTGATTTTTTTTTATAAAAGGGAGGTAAGAGCCAAGGAGCAGCTCTACCAGGAACAAACAAACCGGCAAACACCCAGCAAACCGCTAGAGCTCAAACAACCGCCCACAGGCAGGAGCCAAAACAAAACAAACTCGACCGTCGAAAGAAGACGGAACCAGCAGGCCAAAAATTACTCCTCCCTAACAGCCCATCGGGGAAAGCTAACTCCGATGATGTCTTCTCTAATGATCCTGGCAAGCTCTTGAGGTGGGTCCTCCAGTTCATAAATACCGAGGGGGTAGACGAGATTGTGCTTCGAGAGCCAGTCCGCAGCTCTATTCCCTTCTCAGTAAGTATGTCCTAGCTGAACCACCCAATTTTGAGAAAGAAGACGCCTAATCTCACCAAGAATACTGGCATGAAGGTGCAACGGGTCGTTCGGTTGTCTGATCAGGCCCAGGGCTAAAGCAGAATCCGATTCCAAAATTAGAAACTGAATGCCCCTTTTCCAAGCGATTTTGAGGCCCTGAAGAATGCCCCAAAGCTCCGCCATAATAGCGGTGCCTGTACCAATTCTATGGACGAAACCTGCAATCCAATCACCATCAATGTCGTGAATGATCCCCCCTGCTGCAATGTCCCCTCTATGGCCTTGAGCAGCGCCGTCCGTGTTCAGCTTAAACCAGCCCGCTGCTGGTTTGGACCAACCAATCAGCTTCTCAACTCGATCTGGTTTATTTCTTCTATCGAGGGATCTGCTGGCCGACTCCCAAACGTTAGCCCAATCCTTAGCTTTGGTCACCACATAATTGCATAGTGAGGACGGGCTAAGAGTCTTCCCCCTGAACACCGTTTCATTCCGTTGTTTCCAAATGAACCATAGGAGTAAGCTGAAAAAACTCCCCCACTCCCCCGGCCAAGAACCTGACCTGTTGTCCGCCAGGTTGTTCCTCAACCAGCCCTCCCAATCGGTTGACATGAAGCTATCTCTAAACTCAGGGGCAATGACCTTGAACCAAAGGTTTCTTGCTCTAGCACAATCACGAAGACAGTGGATGATTGTCTCCTCCGTGTCCTCGCAGTAGGGGCACTTGTCGTCGGTGGTGAGGTGCCTATACTTTCTTATACTGTTGGTGGTTAGTTTGTTTTTAACCGCCATCCAAACAAAGACCCTCACTCTTTCCGGGATGTGAAGTTTCCAAATGCTTTTCCAGAAGGTAACTGAAGCTGAAGAGACCAGAGATGGTGAGAGGGCTTGGTAGGCAGTTTTTGTCGTGAAGGAGCCATTAGTTGTAAGGCTCCACCGCAGCTTATCTTCCTCCCTTGTCATTGGATCAAAATGGAAGGCCTGAATAGCTTCCAAAGTTTCAGCTCCCAGGTAATCGGCCAACTCATCAATTTTCCAGCCATCATCCTCGTGCCAGTAATGGGCCACCCGACGTTGGAGGAACTCGTCCGGAATTGTTTGGGTTGCCACTGAAACCAAGGGAACCTGCATCAACCACACATCAGTCCAGAATTTAGCTTTCCTCCCATTTTTAATATTATAAGCGCAACCTTTGCGTAGCAATTCAGTCGAGTGACTAAAGCTACGCCAGGCAAAGGAACTTCCCTTTGTGTTTTTGAGAATGTCTAAACCCTCTCTTGAATGACCATATTTCCCTTTCATGATCCGCACCTAGAGAGCCTGATCATTTGTCGCCAGCTTCCAAGCTCCTTTCGCCAGCATAGCTTGATTAGCTAATCTAGTGGGACGAATACCAGCTCCTCCTTGGCTTCTTGGCACCACCATTTGATCCCAGGCGATGGGGTGGAAACCAGACTTCCCTTCTTCATCCCCCCAGATGAATTGCCTGTTGATCCTGTCAAGAGAGGAACACACAGACGCAGGAAGTTGCTCGGTAAACATAGGGTAAACCGACATGGAGGAGGAAACAGAATTCACCAAGGTCATGCGAGCCGCGATGGAAAGGTGTCGGGTTTTCCAATTGGCCAGGCGCTTCTGAATTCTGAATGTGAGGTCCTTGTATCTAGCTTTGGAGATCCTTCCGTTGATTGTATTGATCCCTAAGTATTTCCCCAGGTCTGTCGTGGTAGGGATGCCAGCTCGGTTCTCCAGCCTTTGTCTCCTGTCCCTGGGCACATTAGGAGATATCATCATCGCGGATTTGCTTAGATTGACTTTTTGGCCAGAGCTACAACAAAAATCGTCTAAGCATTTCCGAATAATGTCAATCTGACGACCTTCTGCTTCTGCAAACAAAACCAAATCGTCAGCAAAGAAAAGGTGAGAAATTTTTGGCCCATTTTTAGACAGCTGGAGAGGTTTCCACAGATTCTCGTCAACTGCCTGCTGAATCCTGTGAGAAAGCCGTTCCATACACAGAACAAAAAGATAAGGGGAGAGAGGGTCCCCCTGACGGACTCCTCTAGTGGGAATAATTTGCTCGGACAGCTCCCCATTCCAGTTAATTCGCATCTTGTTCTTCTCCACGCAGAACATGATCCGGTTAATCCAGGTGCTGGGGAGCCCAAGTTGCGCTAAGGTGTCTCTGATGAAATCCCATCTGAGCCTGTCATAGGCTTTTTCCAAGTCAATTTTGATCACCAGGCCTCCCCCCCCCCCCCCCTTTCTTTTTCCTAAAAGAGTGGATGACTTCCTGCAGAATCAGGATGTTATCCGGAGTTTGGCGGCGGCCGGGGATGAAACTGCTTTGGGTTGGAGCCACCCAGTTCTTCATTAGAGGCTTTAGACGGTTGGTAATCGCCTTGGTGATGACTTTGAGGCGAACATTGTTGAGGCAGATAGGTCGAAACTGGGCTGGGCTCTCCGGGCTCTCCGTCTTGGGAATCAGGACCACTGTTGACTCCAACGCCTCCTCTTCTAATTCACCTGTCTCAAAGAATTTAAAAGCCATGCTAGTTAAACCTTTACCCACTAGAGACCACATCTTTTTGTAGAAAATCGCTTGGAAGCCATCCGGACCAGGAGCCGCGTATGGTTTCATATCAAAAATCGCCCTGTGAAAGTCATTAATTTGGAAGGGACGCAAGAGAGTGAGAAGATCCTCGTTCCCAATCCTCGGAAAGCAATTCTTCGGCATCAGGTCGTTGTAGACGAGCTCATCCTGCCTGTAGAGAAGTCTGAAAAATGAGACAATCAAGTCTCGGAGCTGCGCCGGGTCCTCAACCCACTCTCCACTCTGATTCCGCAAGGAGATGATCTTGTTCCTTCTTCTACGACGATTGGCCAGTTGGTGGAAGTAGGAGGTGTTCATCTCCCCTAGCTTGACCCAAGTTTCTTTAGCTCTTTGAAACCAAATGATTTCCTCCTGCGCAAGGAGGTCATCTAGCTCTTTTTCAAACTTTGCTTGCAGCTTGAAGAGACCGGGGGATGGTGAGGTGGCGATTTTGGTTTGAACTCCTTGAATCCTCGCCAAAAGTCTCTTCTTACGATGACCAATGATGCCGAACGTGAGTCTATTCCACTCTTGGAGCTTGATAGAGATGTCTTTTAGCCCTTGATTGAAGTCCCCATCCACATTCCAGTTTTCTGCAAAAAACTCCGAGAAATTGTTATGGAGCAGCCATGCAGCTTCAAAGCGAAAGGGCTTGGCTCCCCCATCATTATAATGGATACCCGAGTACGAGGTAAGAATAGGAAGGTGATCCGAGTGCAGCTTGGGAAGGTGGCGGGTCGAGGTGTTGGCAAAGGAGGCATTCCACGCAGCGTTACAGAGACTTTGGTCGATGTGGCTGGCTTTGAAAGTGTTGTTGGAATCCCTCCTGCACCACGTATACTGAGCCCCTGAAAACCCCAAGTCAAACAAGTTTGCTTCATTTATCCAGTCTGAGAATTGCTGGCATCTACGGAGGGAGGCGGTAGAAACGGTGCCAGCCTTCTCCGAAGGAGAGCAGTAAGCATTGAAGTCTCCTGTCACCAGCGAGGGAATATCCAAATTGCGACCGAACTCGATGAGATGATTCCACAACAAATGATGGAATCTGTAGTTGGGGTTGCCATAAACCCCAGTGAGGAGCCATTCACGCTGTGTGTTGTTGGAGACCTTGACAGTTAAATGTTGCTGGCTAGCGTCAATGAGCTGGATCTGGAAATCATCGGATCTCCATGCCAACCAAATGCCCCCACTGCGACCTTCCGCATCTACACGAATGACATCTCCATACCCCAAATTGCTGCAAACTGTAGTGGCTCTATCCCCACTGATTTGGGGCTCGATGATCAGGAGAAAATCCAGGGAATACACTTTGGTCAGGAGCCTCATAGCTCGATGAAAGGCTTTGCTACCTGCACCGCAAACATTCCACGACAAAACTTTGAAATTAGGATAGTTTGGAGTAGACATAGACATAAAAGGTAAAAGGAAGGGAGCAGACGAGAAGAAAGCAAACGAAAAAACAAGGAGAGAAAGAATCGGGGCGAAGGATCAGTCAGCCAAGGTAGTGTTGGAGTCGGTGGGCTGCTGACCGACGATCAGCTCCCGATTCTCCGCGGCTTCCCGCTCCACTGTCCGCTCTTCCATAAGATCATCACTGCCATCAGTCCCTTGTTTATTTGCGAGCGCGGCTAAGCTGGGATTGCTGGCGAAGAACGCCTCAATAGCTTGAACGGTGATCGGGAAAGCTGCATTTTTGACATTACGGTTTAGTTCCTTTTTTAGCTCCCTTTTGGCATTTGTTGGAACTGTCACCGCCTTCTTGTTCGACTTGAGGCTGAGACCTTTTGTCTTACCATGCGGCGGCGAATTTTCCTTCAATTTTTTCTTGTAGTGCTGTCTGATCGACGATGGGGCTTTATTTGGGTCCACATTTTCCTTCGCCAGGAGTTGAAGGGAGGGGACAGCAACAACTTGAATTTTAGTGTTATTGGGGCCCAAAATTTGGGTTATCGGCCCAGATGGTACCGAAGCAGAAACCTCGGTATTCTTGGTGGCGTTGGGCTTAACCATGGGCTTGAGTATGTCTCGGCCATCTTTGGATGAAGATGCCTCGCTTGGTCCAATTGGGCGCCAGACTTTATTGACGGAATTTTTGTGGGAGGTTTTCAGAGAATCCGTCTCCTTGATCGCCTTCCCCTTTTGGTTTGTCGAGGGACCCTGCCGCTGCTCTGTCATGGCTGTTTCCTTTCCATTTCCATCCCTCAAGCTAGTGACCGTTTGATTTTGCGAGTTTCCCTTACTGGTGGTTTTGCTTGATTGACGCCCCGCCTCCATTTGGCCGTTATGACGATTTTTCTGATTTTGCTCGCCAGAAGGGGTAACTTTCCCGGATTGCTTCCGTGATTTCCTCGTTACTTGCATCCAGGGGCCATATCCCGGTGGTGGCTCCGGCGTCGAATCGTCCGCCGCCGTTCTCCGATCGCTGGTTTGGGCCACCACAATTTCCATGTCCGAATGTGGTTTCCGGGATGGGCATGAATCATCCGAGTGCCCCACACACCCACATTCAAAGCAAATTAGGGGAAGATTTTCATACTGTACCGCTTGCCAAAAACCGTCGAGGTGGATGCGAGACGGCACCGGCTTGGACATGTCCAGTTCCACAGCTATCCGAGCAAATTTCCCCCTTTGGCGATGTTCGGTGTGGTAGTCTAATTTCACCGTCCGACCGATCAGATTGCCTATAGCAAACAGGACTTCTCTGTTATAGAAGTGGACAGGCAGTTCGGGGAGTTGAATCCAGGCAACAACTGAACGGTAGGGCTTCTGTCCAGTGCGGAAAGACGGCGACCATTGATGTACCACTAGGTAGTGGTCCAGAATAACCCAAGGCCCTCCGGTTAAAGCTGTCAGGTAGTCTTGCTCATTTGAGAAAGTCACTAAGAAGGTGTCGTTGTTGAGATCCATGATGTCTAGGTGACCTGTTGGTCTCCACATCCATTTGATCCGGTTGCACAGGTAGGCGTAGGAGATGGAGCGGCCCAGCAGCCTGATAACCAGCGTCTTCTTCCATGGGATGCATAATTTTTCTCTAAGCTGGTCCGAGATTCGCAGGGATGGCTCACCCCCAAAAGATCCGGGAATGAGATCATGTTCCCCCACGAAGGTCCACTGGCTCGCTATCTCCACCGGCCCCTGATCTTTGCCTATGAGTGCCGATTTGAAATTCAGTGGCGTCGCTGTAGTGTTAACCGCTTGCTCTGCAATGCTTTCAGAAGGAGGTGGAGAAGAGAGCAGGTCCGGCGGCCGTCCCGTCATGGACATGTCCGGCACCGGAGCAAGGAGGACAGAGGGCGAGGTCGAGAGCATTTTTCCTCCTCAATTAATCACTTGATTAGTTAGGCGACATGAAGTCATTGATTTTTTTTTTTATTCTTATGTTGAACCGTTCATTAAAAGCTTCTTGATTAATAAGCATTGTTGTCATGGTACTTCTAATTTGCATGTAGGTTACTTAACAAATCATCTTCTCATTTTTTGTAGAGGGAAAAAAATGGCGTGGAGCCAACTTTGGAGCAAATATTTGAGAGGTCAAGGGAAAATAATAAAAGATCCAAAGGCTATTAAAAAACTTGTAAGTTGATTTGTTTTGTTTTGATTAGACTTTTAATTTCAAAGTATAAAAAACATACTAAGTGAGTGTCATCTTTTGGAGGAAATCAAGAAAGCATCAGAGGCTGCCCCAGACTCTAAGGCTGCGTTTGGATACAAGGATTTGGATTTGGTATTTGTGATTTGGATTTTCAAATACCAAATCATGTGTTTGGATATTAATTACATTTGGTATTTGGATTTGTGTAAAATTCATGGGGTGATTTCCAAATACATGTCTAGTGTATTTTTTGTCAACTTCAAATACATTTCAACAACTAGTGATTTGAAATACCTCCTAACAAAAGAATGGACCTATTTGTAAAATATGAAAAGTTTAGGTACTATAGTGTGAGGCAAAACATATAAAGGTACCAAAATGTAATTTTACCATCAAAATTTTAGGACCTTTTTGTACAATTTTAAAAGTTTAGGTACTAAATTGTAAGAAAAAATAATTTTGGGTACCAAACTGTAATTTACCAAAATTTGTAGTAAGTGACCAGAAAATTAAAAATTGAAAATGAAAATCATAAATACAAAAATACAAACAAATTACAAATTACAAATGAGTATCCAAACAATGAATTTGAATTACATGTATTTCAAATACTAATACTTCAAATACTTCCATTTCAAATGCTAGTATTTCAAATACCTTACATTTAAAATACACTTATCCAAACGCACCCTAATAAGTATGACTTGGTTGTCAAGTGTTTTGGAGACCAGAATCATGGCCATTGATTTGCCTTGGAGGTGGTGTTAAGCCTAAGGACTCTTGAAGACAAATAAATCAAATGATGAGGAGTTGGCTGCCAAATGACGTCAGAAAAGGCTGCTATTCAAATCGAGTATTGAAGCATATATTGAATCCCCAAATTGGCTCCCCTGATTCCCCCAATTCGAATTCAATCAATCAAAAGTTCAAAACAGCATGAATTGTGATTCCAAATGTGAGAAGAATCCCCACAGATAATCAAGGCCAAGTTCAAATGGAACAAGGCCAAATTCCGTCAAAACTGCAAACCCCTGATTTATACGATTTCAAACCCTAAAACACCTTGAATCCGAAATTTCAGTCCTGAATCACAATTGATACACGAAATAGATACTATACCATGGCCACCAATCCACCTCTAGCTTTACCGACCACCTAGACTCAGCCCTCCGCCGCCGCAAACGAACCAAGCCTCCTGCGATGGCGAGAACATCAATGAGGCGAGAATGGGAGAGAGGCAAGAGGAGAAGTGGAGGAGTTGGGGGAGGTAAGGTTTCTTGCCTAGCAGCGTTAATGTGCAGCGAAGCGAATGCGGAGTAGAGGACGACAAGACAACGAGTTTCAAAGTGGAGGTGTTGGGGGAGGTTTGGAGTTTGGGCAAGGAAGCGGAGGGAGGAGGAAAAACAAGGGGAATTGATTCTTTTGTTCCGTTAATATAACCGGGTTATCCTCTAATGCGCTTGCGGGCTAATTTTTTTAGAAAAGAGGCGGGCTAAGTTGATGCAAACCAAATTTTGGAGCCAATTCTACTAAAAACTAAAATTTTGGAGCCAAAGTTCAATTTTGGGACTCAAGTAAATTTGAAACAAATGAAAATTCTCCCTTCCATAATTTGAAGAATAATTGTTAAAAAACTGTTAAACTATTCACGGGAACTACGGTGACCAAGTATCAATCACGGGAAATAAAGAGTAAAAAATTAATAAATTGTTCCGTGATTTGAGACATACAACTAACTACAGTAATTTTTCCCGTGTCTATCAGTGTACTTCTTAATACGGAAAATATTCCATTGAATAAGATACCGTGACAAAAAAAACCTGTTTTCCTGTAGTGATTAAGAACCATGGTGAATACTGACTTTGACCCACCGGCCTTGTTCCCGTGGAGATTACCTTCGTAATTGTAAACGGTAGTGTACGGTGGTTAAAGAGTACAAACGGTGGGGAAAAGTTCTTGCATATATGGAATCACAACGTTGCCAAATGTTTGGTCACTATACAATACATTCACTAAATATTACAATTAATTCAAACTGAAGATTATTTCAAGGTTATGTTAACCTGTGAAACACCAATCTAATAACAACAATGAGTTCTTTTCATGAGAATAGTAACATTGATTAGTGATATAATTGCTAGTATCGTACAAGTTACATTGCACAATTAAGGTGCCATCCATAGAATTCTAATTTTAATAGTCCTACCATTAGTTATATATTATCATCCTACCACTCTGACTATTTCTAGTCTAAGGAAGTTCACATTTAACAATGCTTGAGTTGATTCACATTGAACTCAAGCGTTTAGAGGTTAAGTGGTATTGAGACGATAGGGCCGAGAGGTTACGATTGTGCACATCTTTTGCACCAAAAAGGTCCCGACCCCACTGGTCTTGAGAGTGAGTGATCCGTTCTTGTTTTACTTACCATTTCATACCCCGGTGAGGACCTTCGTTGCCTTTCCATTTGTTCCTCGGACTTGAATTCCATGCATGGTTGGTTGTGGTCGATAAGTGGTTTTGTTGGACCTTGCATTTATCCATGAATAAGTTGAGAACTTTTCGTTAGCCTGTTTTGGTTGCTTTGAATGTCGTTTGTGGTAGATGTCGGTATTTTTTGCAATGGTTCATGTGTTGATTGTCAATAAACATCGAGAATTCCTGCTTCGTGCCCTTTGAGTTGTCCCCAAGGTATTGGTGTAGGTTGAAATATTCTCGTGTGCATGAAATGGTTTGCTTGGGGACAAGCAGACGTCTAAGTGTGGGGGAGTGATTCGGGCCTAATTGCACATGTTTTGCCCCCGTTTTACTTAGATGTTTGTGCCAAATTCGCTCCTTAAAGGTTGGTTTTACGCTAGGTTCTTCGTGTTTGAGTGTGTTTCAAGATTTAACAGGTGAAACTAGCCTCGGAGTCGAAAGATTGGCGAAAAGGATCGAAAACCGGGAGAAGAGGTGAAAAAGAGCCAGTTCACGGCTAACTAAAGGAGTTCACGGTCATGCAAGACTGTGAAGAAGGGGAGTTGACCGTGAATCATGAGGCGTCTAGAGCCAATGTGAAGGTTACTGACGCAAGGTGAGTTCACGATCACTAAGACCGTGAACACAGGCAGTTGACCATGAACAGACGTGAGCGATGCGGAGTGTTTTGGCGCACGCCTTGAGTTTACAGACGTGTTTGATGGTTCATGGCCGTGAACTCAACTCTTCTCGGGTTTAAAAGATGAGGTGAAATGAGGAGAGAAGGGAGAGCCCACTTTGGTGTGAAACACCTTCATCGGCATTCTAGTGAGAGAAACATAACCAAAGGGAAAAAGAAAGTTAGGGTTTGGCTTCAAGGCAGATTTTGGGAAGATTTCCCCCAAGGAAGCTCAACTCAAGGGTCAAGAAGAGAGGGAGCATCCTCAAAGATGGTTTCCACCTTTTTCCCTTTTGTCCTTCCCACTTCTAGCATGGAGTAGACCTCCTTTCACTTGGGTGTAGTGAAACCCTAACTCTACCATGTAGTCTTCTTATATGTGCTTGGATGATTGTCATTGGGTATTGTTCAATTCAATGATTGAGGCATTATTCACCATGATTGTGCATGCTTGTGCTTAGCAACTTAGGGGTTGTGCATCTTTTGTGCTTAGCATCCTTAGGTTTGTGCATTTAGGTGCTTAGCAACCTAGGGATTATGCATAAGTGCACTTAGCACCCCTAAGTTTGTGAATTTAGGTGCTAGTAATCTAATTTGCCACCTTAGCCTAGTTTAGAGAGGAAAATCCCCCTTTTAAGGGAGACTTAATCGATTTGGTTTTCCTTCCGCTTTCTAAGCCACCTAAACTAGGCTGAGTTAGGGCAACCCTCAATATTGAGTTAAACAAGTCGATTAATCGCGATTAAACCGTCCGACCTTAGAGTTGAGTGAGGGAGTAAGTCAATTACCGATTGTCTAAACCGAAAGGGTCGAGTGACACGGCCTTTCATCCTCACCTCGGTTTAGAAATTGAGACTTTGGTCTCCGGCCACATATGCATTCCTCTACGGTTCACGATTAACCTTCCCAAGACAATCGTTCCAATCCACATAGCATGGTAGCGGTTAGGGGGAAGCGACACCCGAGTGACTTTCCCGCAAAAGAGTTTCAAACCCAATTTCCTTTGTTTTCTTTTATTTCAATTAGCAAACCTTTTAAACCAAAGTTTAGTTGCTAGATAATGATTTCAACAACGGAAGTAGGGATAGACGGACCGGCCCGGTCGATATCGAAATACTTGCCCTATACTGCACCCGATTAGAGTTTAAAAACCTGGGCTCTAATTGGGGTTTTATTGTGGTGTAGTTTCGTGTGAGTCAAGTTTCGGCG